CGTCTCATAAGTGAGCGGGAATTTACCGAACGTGGCACTTATTCACTGTATGCAATGCCCGCAACCTCACACCAAATTTCAGACCGTGTAGATAGGCAAGCATATATACAAATCATTTAGTAAGCAGAAATCCGAAATTTACCTTAACATATTAAGTTAGAGGAAGATGCGACTGAATTGATGCTTGAAGAATGCACTTCCAGCAGCCATGATAAACAGTTGGCGGTTAAAATTGTATATGCACAATTTGATTTGACGAAATTCACGAGACCTATTACTATCTTACTATCCAATCACATTCATGGATAAAAATACAATTTAAATAAGCATGTAACGACCACAAACGGAGGAAAATAGTGGAGTAAAAGTACTGATACATCACTTAAAATGTACTCAAGTAAAAGTAAAAGTACACAATTTTTAAACTACTCAAAAAAGTACAATTACTGATAAAAACTACTTAATTACTGTAGTACAGTCAATAGTATTTGTAATTTGTTACTTCACACCCCTGTCTGGGACAGTTGAAATTGACCTCAGGAGCGTTCATATTGCTTATAGATGTTACTACACTTCCAGTGAAGTAAACCTGTGGCAAATTCAATTGAATGGGTTTGATTAGGAAAGGCACACACGTCTTAATGAAAGGTCTAACAGCTGAAATGCATATCAGAGCAAAAAACCAAGCCCTGACATAAAAAAAAAAAACTGCCTGTAGAGCTCAGAAACAGGTTTGTGTCAAGCCACATATCTGGGGAAGAGTTCCGAAAAAATTCTGCTGCATTGAAGGTTCACTGAAGCATGTAGTCTCCATTACCCTTAATGGAAGGAGTTTGAAACAACCTGGACTCTTCCTAAAGCTGGCCTCCTGGCCAAACTGAGCAATTGATGGAGAATGGCTTTGGTTAGAGAGGTGACCAAGAACCTGATGCTCACTCTTGTTGAACTCCATGATCATATGTGGAGATAGGAGAAACCTACAGAAGGACAAACATCACTGCAAGTGTAACGGATGTCGAATCGGCCAAACACCCGTCCGAAATCATCGTCAGGGGACCCACATCAAGTGAATGAATGCACCCACAATCTGCAATTATCTTCTTATGTATTCTCACTGTAGTGTCACTTGTTTTCTGAGAGAGAATACAAAAAATGCAAAAGTTCAGGAAATATTGCAGAGTTGCCTTCAACTATAGTAGTTTTGCTCATTTTCTGTTGAACTACGGTGGGTGCGTAGGGACAAAATACTAAACGTTTGCAATATTTTAACCACCAGGGGCACTCAAACACCATTTAATTTAGTTTAAAGCCTAATTTCATGGAATTCAATAATATGAATTATTATAATCTATATTCACTTTTTGATTCCGTTACATTCACCTCCACTGAATTACATGAAACTTGGGCATAACCAAAATTAAAGAAAATGATCATACATGTAACGAATCAGCTCATGGGAAATATGAATAATTAATCATAACTAGTTATAATTAATTATTCATATTTTAGATCCGCTGTAGATATTGTGTTTGAGTGGTCCAGACGCTACATACATAATCAGCAACTTACACCAACGGAGAATCTCCCATAAAAGGACAGTCATTAAGAAAATTATCCCATAAGGATGAAGCGATAAGAGAGTAGGGCTCAGCTCCCATATCAACAAGGTCAAATGGTCAACCAATGCATTCCCTACACCTCAGGTATGTTACTTGAACATGAACCAAGGACCTTTAACACGTCCATACAAACTAAGAAAGAATGAAAAGAAAAGAAAAACTTTCCAAAATGAACCATAAAAGGAGATTTAGTTTGCTAATTAGCAAAAGCACATAACAGACCTACAAACAGCTCCAACATTATGCTTTGCATCTTGAATGATAGCTTGGCCCAGCCATGTTTGAATTAACCGGTCGACTGGCTTTATGACACGACCAAAATGTGATCTGACTTGCGTGACTAGTGTAGAACTTGGTGGTACATTTACAGTGTCAGCTACATGTGTGTCGGCAGGAGTCTGTGAGCAGGGCTGGGCAGACAGGACTGTGTCTGAATCATGCAAATCTGAACTGCCACTTGCATTGTCACTAAAAACAGACATTCTTGCATCTTTGGACAATTCAGATGTGTGACTTCCTGGTGCAGCAGGAGTGACAGGAGTGAGTCCAGGGATCCGTCAGAATTCCATTTAGGGTTTAATCAGATTTAGTTTGGACGCATCTTGCAGGCAGGTCCGTAACCCAACTAATGGTTCTGTCCTTGGCACCAGGTTCTTGAACCGACATAGAATCAATCTCACAGTCATTGCCAGCATCGTCACATGTAGATAATGCCTTGCCTCTCGTCATCACAGATCCATTCATTGTAACGCTACTGCAGCTGTCTTCTTCAAGCTCAGACACTTCCCTTCCCAGAGATTCATCCTCCACCACACACAAGGAAATGACTGAAGGTGACCTCTGACAAGAGTTGGATACGACAGAAAGCTGATCAGACAGGGGGTTCTCCACATTCACTGGTAGGAAATTTACCAACATCAACAGGTTTAGATGAACCACTTTTTCCTGACCGGTAGATGGATTATGGATCCTGTAAGTGTGAGTGTCTGGTTTACGATCCACAACAGTGTAAACTGTCGACTCCCACTTGTCAGCGACTTTCTTTTTGCCCCTTTCTGTTTTGTTTGCCAGGAGCACTTGATCGCCTATTTCAATGACCAATCCTTTCACCCTTCGGTTGTATAACTCTGCATGTCTTTTTTGCTCTTTTGTAGCATGCTCTTGTGCAGTGTTGCCAAATCAATTGGGCTACTTTAACACTGTTGCTGTGGGTTGTTTTTCATGTCCGCGGGTTGAAGCGACTCCAATAACATGATATTTATCCCCTGGGAACCCCGCCAAAAAACATGTATTTTACCCCCCGGTATGCGATTTTTAACTGGGGACCCCCTCAAAATGCGATTGGGCTAGTTTTGGGCTAGTTTTGAGTAGCAATTGGGTGGGTTTTCTTGTGAAAACCTTGCAACCCTGCTCTTGTTCGATCAGGGATGCTTCTTTCAGATCTTTGACCAGAGTGGTCACAAACGTATCACAGCTTGTTACAGCAGGATCATTCAAAACTGAATGAAAAAAAATATCAATGGGCAGACGAGGCCCACGGCCAAACATCAAATTATGTTTTATTAACAAAGTTCGGGAGGAGCACGTTCAGAAAATTAACCTAATTAACACGAGAGGAGCACAATCAGTAATCAACCCAATTAACAAGATAAGAGGTGTGTATATATACACAGCAGACTTACCTCTGTTCCTTGACAGTTTTTCCAGAATCCCTCCGCCACCCCTTCTCCGCACTTACAACCATTTCTGTCCTAACCTGTAGGGGGGGTAC